AAAATGGTTATGACCAATCAATTCAGCCTTCACTTAGCTTTGGTGGCTTGGACTAGTGGGTTCATCATTGTCTTTTCTCAGGCAGTAGTAGTGTGGATGTACCCTTATTGTGGAGACAATGTCATTGACCACTTCTTTTGTGATATAGGACCTCTTCTGAAATTGGCTTGTGCTGATACAAGCGTGATGGAACTAATTGGTCTTATCTATGGTGCCACTTTCATGTGGGGGTCCTTTTCTCTTTCCTTGATATCATACATGTATATTGTAGCTGCTATCATTCGAATCTCGTCTGCCACCGGACGGTCCAAAGCCTTTTTCACTTGTGCCTCCCACCTCACTGTAGTAAGTATTTTCTACTCAACAGGCATGTTTATGTATTTGAGGCCTTCAACCCATGGTGATACCCGACTCAATAAGGTCATATCTCTTGTGCGGACAAGTTTACTACCCATGTTAAATCCTTTTATCTACACAATCCGGAATAGTGAATTCAAAACAGCTCTAGGGAAAACCACAAGACGGAAGCTTGCTGTCTAGGATTTGGACATTGTTAAAAAGAAAGTGTTGTTTAATGTGGTTTTATACAACCCTTAGTATTAATGTACAAGACCTCGATACAAATATAATGTGCATTTAGTTTCCTGAGAAGTTGAACCTCATTCTAAATTTAAAAAAAAAAAAATCTTGGGGTCAGTTAGGGTTAACTGCAGAAAGGGTCAAAATGGCTGGAAAGCAGGTGTGTTCATGCAGTCAAAGCCCTGCCCTCTTTTTAAGGGTGTAGCATACCTGAGACAGGTAAGAAGGGGTGGGGCTCCAATGACACAGCACAGCTTCCATCTTTCTTGCCCTCCCACCCCAGATGCCCCTGAGAGCTTTTAGAAGAAGCTTTCTAACTTCATCTTATTATTATTATTTTTTTACTTGCAGTTAAAGTGTACCCTGACTCTACTTATTTTCTTTGTCTTTCAACAACAAGGCATCTGAATTCTGTTGATATTAAGTTATTCAACAAATTGTAGGCTTCTTTGAGTTTTTTAAAGTTTCAATCACAAAATCAAAGCTTCCATCTTTTTGGATCCTCCTCTACAGATGCCCCTGACAGCTGGTTTTAAAAAAAATTAAATCTTTAACTTCATCTTGTCATTTGCAGTTGCAGTGGAATAGTATATCCTGATTCTCTACTTCTATTCTATTCTATTCTATTCTATTCTATTCTATTCTATTCTATTCTATTCTATTCTATTTTTTTTTTTTAAGGAGAGGCATCTGGTTTGGGTAAATATATAAAATGTTATCAAATTATACACGATCAACTTCGTTAAGATCCTAAAAGAGATTTAGGAACCATGCTGCTCTCTATGGATTTTGTTGTGTTATGATGTGTATACATATTACATTGTGTATGAGAAATGTCTGCAAAGTTTCTTGGAATGGGCTTAAGTTGTGGTTTGTCTGATCACTGCCTTTGTAATGGATCTTCTCACTGTCCTTCATAGCCATTCCATACTGGTTTGATGGCAAATAATCAGTCAAGTTGCCAGATGACCACTGCTTAGGAGATGAAGGGGAATAAATGGAGGAAAAACATAGCCATTGCAAATAATAATTCACATGCTACTTCAAGATTTAAGCAACTCAGTTTAGTCTGTAAACAATTGCTTTGATAATAAAAGTGGTTTTCCAACCAAAGTCTACCTTTATTATTGGCTGGGTTTGTGTGATGTAATGGAATTATGAAGGCCAGGCTCAGGGCAAAAAACATTTCCTTACATCTCCTGAAGAGCATGGGAGATACAAGAGGATGAGACTGCCACCTCCCTGAGGAAATCACAGTGTTGTGGCTGGCATTACTTGGGAGCTGGGGTTTCAGTCTGGGAAGATTCTGGCT